CACACACACACACACACACACACACACACACACACACACCCCTCACCTCCTAGCATTTATGATGAATTCCTTTGCAGGTCTAAGCACAGTGACCACTTCTTGAGTACCTGTTGTGTGTAAGGTCCTGTGTAAACACCAAGGTGAGACCAAGGATAAGAACACAAACTAATTGAAGCATACGGCTGAAAGGAAGACTTTAAACAGTACAGGAAGAGCAAATGGATTGAGGACTTAGGGACTCTTGAGATAGTCTCCTAGACAAGACAGGGGTTAAACCATCAGTTATTTAACCCCTCCCTGCAAAAAACAGTGTTCTCAAGGCCACACCCCTTCTTATAGCTTAAAAACCCATTTTGCCCTTAATATTATGGTAATTAAAAATAATTGCTTTCTGTGATAACTGGCTGTACTTATACCATATAAATTAATTTGTGGCTCTTTATCAGCTGTATGTGTTCCTGCAGCTTTGCTATTATTTGAGGCATGTACATACCTGTTTCTCAAGAATAATAATTAAAATAACAGGGAGGTTTTAGGGTTATTTTGGTGGGTGGTCGAGGAGGAACTGAGAATTGGAAAAAAAATATTACATATTCCATATTTCTTTGAATGCTTTTTATCAGCATTTTCGAGTCAGGTTTTTATAATCTTAGAAAATTTCTTTTAGTTATCTGTCTTACATATTTCCTTGCATTACCAGTGTAAAATGTTTAATTATTTGCTTTATGATTTATTACTACATCTTTTGAGCTAATATTTTTAAGTTATCAGGTAAGTAAATACTCACGATGGTTATTTCAAGGACTTTTGAAATATCATAAAACACCAAAAATTATGCTTTAAAAACTGTAGAATGTTTCTCTGATCTCTACATGAAAGACTTGGGTATTCCTGTTGTGGGTAGCTTGTTTATTTCAGGGACTGTGCCATGCCATAGTAGCACATGCTACTTAATCCCAGCACTCAGGAGACAGGCAGACAGATCTCTGAGTTCAAGGCCAGCCAGGGCTGTTACCCAGAGAAACCCTGTCTCCAAAAACTAACCAATTAACCAAGCAAATCAAACAAAACAAAGTATAGTAAAATATGGATGAGCCCCTTTTGTATAATCTGATTTTCACTACAAGAACGACCTTTAAAAGGTGAATGGTGGGGGCTGGAGAGATGGCTCAGTGGTTAACAGCACTGACTGCTCTTCCAGAGGACCCAGGTTCAATTCCTAGTACCCACATGGCAGCTCACAGCTGTAACTCCAATATCTGACACCCTCACACAGATATACATAGAAGCCAAAAACAAAACAAAAAACCAATGCACATAAAATGAAAAATAAGGCTCCAGTAAAAACCAGATTGTGTTTGATGCTCACACTGAGGCTGGAACACCAGAGGAAACTTCAGTGTCCTGCTGCTGCAGGATTTTCAGGGGTAAACAACTTTGAGAGTTTGGGAGGCTGAACACATTTTGGCAGTATTTCGTGGGTGAATTTTACCTTATCTTCCAAACAAGCGATTTAAAACTGAGTTTGGGAGCTAGATTTCTTGAGGATGCTGCAAAGCTTTTGTCTGACCCTCATCGTTTCTCTGACAGCGTCAGAACTGCTGCTTCCTGAATTAGTGAGACGTCATTTTTCATGAATAATTTAGATCTCTAAGTGGCAATCGGTATTTTTTAAAGTAATGTATTCATAGTACCATGTCTAGAGTAAACCCATCGATGTGAAATGAAACCTAAGGAAACATGTTTCTGTTTTACAATTTTAAGGATTTTTATGAATTGAAAATAAGATTTTTTTGTTTTACCACATTGTTTATTTTAAAATATGGAAGTACTGTTTAACTTTTGAGGACAAGAATGGTGGTTCATTTTTAGTTGTCAGCCAGTGGGCTAATGGACTCAGAAGGATTCATTTATGGCAGATGCCTTCTGAGTTTTCACGTTAAGTTGCCATTCTGTGACATTGAGGACATGCTATTCTGTTATTTCCAGTGGATTGGTGACTCCCTGGAGCCTCTCACTGCTTTTTATTTTTTATTTCTTTGTGGCTACATCCGGTGTGACACATTGTCTCCCGAAAGGGCTCTTCAGCTTGATAAATAACACCAGCCCTTCTCACCCTGAGACAATGAGGCAGAAGGATTGAAGCTCTAGGGGCATAGATCCCACCCCTGTCACAGCAGATCATGACAGTTGTGTCCCCTCCCCTCGATCCTGGCACTCAGGAACATCCTCTATCCCTTTCTTTGTTAATGGACAGCTTTTTTTTTTTCCTTCTTTTTTTGTCACACTCTGTCTGCTTGGCTGTGTTCATTGTTTGGATCTGATCCTTGGGTCATACAGCAGCTTCCTCAATAGCACCTTGGATGGCGGTGTTTTCCCTTTGTCTGAAGTGGAAGTTTCTTCATCTAAACAATGGCTTTTATTCACACATCGAGTGAATGCCCATAGACTTAGGCATTTCGACAGACCCACTGACACTGAGAATGGTCTTTGCCTCATGTAAACTCATGATCAATTCCTTTGTGTTCTCCATTGATCTCCATGTCATTTGGGTCCGGGGGATACTTATTAGTGGGTCATTTTATGTTTAATGGGTTTGCAATTTGGAGCTCCCTGCACGACTGAATTCTTGTTCTTTGTTTGGTAACAGACACGGGGAATTTATTGTGAGGGTATTGCATGAAGTCAGGTGACTCGGGATGCTCTGGGTTGTTAAGGAAACAATGGAAGAGGCTGGGTGTCACATTTCTGAAGCTGTTGAGCACATTATAGTTATCAACAGTTAGTGTAGCAAGACATTACATGGTAGAGCTAGCTCTCCCTCCACCTTCCCTTCTTTATTCTTTCTCTCCCCATCTCCCTACAACAGTTTTATTCACAACTCGTTCTTTCTTGGTGCTAACTATAATGAACATAGAGAGGAGGGTCTTTGTGTGTGTCCAGGTTTTTCTCAGCTAAAAAAGAATCACGCATTATTAGTTGAGTGAATTTATTCATGGGAGATTCCAGAGATTAACACGCTGGTTTGAGGCCTGTTAGGTTCTGATTATGCCCTCCCAAACTGTAAAGAGTCTGGTCTTTAGAGTCAGGGTCCTAGGCTGGTGTGGTTCTCTTTCTAGGGCTCAGCTTTTTCATGAACAAAATGGGGATAACGATGCCTACTTGTAGATTTGTTGGAGGCTAGCCTGGGTTACATATTAAGTTCTAGCCCACCCTGGTCTACAGGACTCTGTTTCCAAACAGAGTTCTAAAGCCATTACAGTGTACACATTTAAAACCTTCTTTTCCTTTTCACAGTGACAAGGTATCATGTATGCCGCTGGTTCCAGGGGACACTCCCCTGCTTTCCTGCAACCGCAAAACGGAAACGGCCATCGCTCACCTGGTTACGTTCCTGGGAAGGTGGTTCCCTTGCGTCCTCCTCCTCCTCCAAAGAACCCTGCTTCAGCCAAATTGACCTCCACCAACCAAGAAGGCCCAGCAACCTTTGCTTTCTCCCCTGAGGAGCAACAAACGCCTAGGGAGAATCGAAAGCAAAAGAGACACAAGAACACCTTCATCTGCTTTGCTATAACCAGTTTCTCGTTTTTCGTGGCGCTTGCAGTCATTTTGGGAATATCCTCAAAATATGCTCCAGATGGTATGTACTGGGTGCATGTGTATTCGGGCACATCAAACATAGTCTAAAAGAAGCACTAAGGCTTCTCACATACAGCATAGTTTAAAAAAAAGAGCTAAGACGAACATAGTCTAAAAGAAGAGCTAGGGCGCTAGGCGGTGGTGTCGCACGCTTTTAATCCCAGCACTTGGGAGGTAGAGGCAGGCAGATCTCTGTGAGTTGAGGACAGCCTGGTCTACTGAGTGAGTTCCAGGACAGCCAGAGCCACAGAGAAACCCTGTCTTGAAAACCGGTGGTGGTGGTGGGGAACTAAGTTGAGGAGGTAGAATACTAAAAAAAACAAAAACCAAAAGCAACCTTTTGTTGCTTAGGCTGGCTCCAACTACCTAATCCACGGGTAGGATGAGATGTGTCATCTTATGAATGAGAGCAGTTGTTTGAGGAATCTGTGGGACACTGTAAATGTGAAGACTTGGCTTTCTTAGCATTTTTGGCCCCCCACTGTGTCTCAGGGCTCAAGTTGTTCTTGGAGCATCTCTTCAAAAGCTCTTCATAGTCTTTACTACTTCCTGGGAGAGTGCAGGGTTGTTCTTGGTGGGAACTGTGAGTTCTGGATTGCAATTAGCTTTATTTGGTCATACATGTAGTGATAAAGTGGACTTCATTTTAAAAAACAAACAAGCCACTAAAAAAGAAATTGTTTTGTGATTTGGAACAGCCTTGGTAAACAGTGTAAAACATTTTAAAAATATGTTTGAGTTATCCTTATGTGTAAATTGATAGATTTGTCTAGTCCTACTCATTCTGTCCAAAGCTGAATATCGTGTAGGGAACTTTAATTTCTTAAATGATATCTGCTTTTCAAGAAGTCAGGTCAGAAATTTAGTGACCAGTGCTGAGGAGATAATTCAGTTGGTGAGGGACTGAGTTTAGTTCCCGGAATCTACAAGGGGTGGGCTAGTGGGTCACAACCACATTGAGCTCTAGGGGCTCCAACACCCTTTTCTGGTTTCAGTGGACACCTGCATACACATGACATACATCCACAAACAAACACACATTTAAAAAAAAAAAACAGATGTGGTTGAGTGTGCTTGTAATCCCAGCACTGGGAAGGGGTGAGGGACTCCTGAGTCTGAATGGAGCCAGTCTAGTCCAACTGAGGAGTGACTCTGTGGGTTGTTCTCTTTGCCTCCACATGCATATGTTATCTACTCCTCATTCCTCAGACACACAGACACACACCACACACAGACACACACAGACACACACACACACACACACACACACACACACACACACACACGCGAGAGAGAGAGAGAGAGAGAGAGAGAGAAAGAGAGAGAGAGAGAATCTATTTAATGGCAATAAATTTATTTTGATTTTGGAGAAATGTGTTGCCTGTTATCTTCATTATGTTTTCAACAAACATTAGCTTCATAGAACAGTTTAAAACTCAGAAGCCCCAGGGGTGTGTCATAGAGGACACCAGACCATTACAACCTGAGTACCCTTTTGTCTTTTTTTTTTTTTTTTTTTTTTTTTTTTTTTTAACAAAGTCTACTACAGGTTTTTGTCTGAGTAGATGTCTCCTTAACTGGATATAATAGGGTAACAGTTGAGGCCCCCCCATTGCCCTTTGTAAAACTTACAAATGGGATTTTGTCAGTTTTAAGGTCCTAGAGGAAGTAGTTACCAACATTTCCAAAAGAATAAACAGGGAGTAAGAGAGATGAGCCTGTCCACATATTTGTTGACCAAGCTATTTGGCCACACTTTGAATTTATAACATTGATTTCCCTTGCTTGTAGTATTGACTTTCTATTCCCAGTTCCAAACACAATAACCAAGTTCTGATTCACATTTTCCAAATAATCATCAGGAGCGGGAAGGCAGACTGGTGGGAAATCAGAGCTGCAATCTGTGGCTTTTCCTGGTATTTTCTTAGTCCGTCCAAAACCCTGGGCTGCAAATGTGGCTTCTTGAGTCAGTGTTCTTTAGTTCCACATGTTGGCAATACAACTGAGATGATCACTGGAAAGACCTAGCATGTTGAACTGTTTTATGGTCAGCCTCACCATTTTTTTGTTTTGTTTTGTTTTGTTTTTTTGCTGTTACAAATGTGCTTACTCTACAAGTGGGCTAGCTAGGACATGGGACTGGCTGAGTTGATTTTTTCATGATTTCTGCACATCGTATACATTTCCTCATTTAAGTATATTTTGCTGGAAGGAACAACTCAGGAATTTCTGGGGTGATAGTTCTAATGGAGTGTGCTCTCCAGGAATTGATTACAAGCAATTAAGAGCAATTGCATAACTCTTACAATTGGCTTCAGGTCACCACCGACTGGAATTCTTTCTCAGTAGCTTGTGACATGTGACATTTGCTTCTTATCTGACACTCTGGAGAATTCCAGCTCTATGTTTTATGAGATAGGGAGGTTGAAGAAAAGTCATTTTAGTTTTTGTAGGGCTTGGGATTGGACTCTGATCTTTGCCTGTGCTAACCAAGCATTCTACCACTGAGCTACACTGCCAGCTCCAAGGATTGCCTTTAGTATAATGGTTTATAATGAAGAATTAAATAGTAATTGTGAATCTGGTATGAGAAAAATAATCCCATCAAATAATTGCCAAGGCCTTAGTGATTCTAATTTAATTCTAGTTGCTCTCACTTCAAGTGACGGCCTAGGCTACTTAAGTTCTTAGAGATAGGAAGATTACCACATTGGGCATGCAGGTTCAAAATGCAAATTTAGGATGCTTTCTTCTTTATCAGTAGTCTCTCTCCTTTCACATGTAGCCTTCAGCCTCAGCAGTATTTCTCCTTGTTGTCCTCAAGCATTTGTCACTCATTCCTATCTTTGCTTAATTTAAACACAAGTGCTTAATTGAAATACAGGTGAGCTGAGTAACAAATGGACTAGGATGGGGGGGGTGATAGATGGATGAGATATATATATCTCCTATTCTTTTTAAAAATAGGTTTAGTTTTTATTGTGTATATGTGTGTGTGTGAGTGAATGGCCACATGTGTGGGTTGATCATAGAGGCCAGAAGACGGTATTGGATGCCATGGAACTCTAGTTTCAGGCAATTGTGAGCTAGATATGGGTGCTGGGAACTGAACTCTGTGAGGGTGGTCCATGCTCTTAAGCATTGTTTATTGTTCCATTATCTCTCAGTCCCAACTTTCCTGTATTCTTGTCTCCTCTTCATATTCCTCTTATTTAAGTGCTATTCATCTTTTGGGGTCTGAGTCTATGAAGCTGCCTCAGGACCTCTAGCTTGTTCTTCCTTTGTCTGAGCAGACTTGCCCCTAAATTACGAACCGTATTATTTACCATTTACTTAATTCATACATGATGGCTTTTCTCCTAGGCTGGTTTATATACTTGTAGAAATATGCCCACTCCCATCTATACTTTAAAAAATTCATAGTATCTGCTACAGAGTAGACAAAACGATCTCCAGAAAATCTTGAGTTGTTAGCTGATCAAAAGTGAAGCTATGATTTTTCTTTCCCTTAGAAGTAGCTCATACACAAACAGCCATCATTTTATTATCTACTACTCAAGAGGCAAGTTACAATTCTGGTGAAGGAAGATTATAAGCCACGGACCTCATTTCTTCAGGCGGAACTTCCACATCACTCAACTTGCTAACTAATCTTTGTGTTGGCTTCTCTCCTCTGCAATTTCCTCATCCCTGAAAATGAGAAGTCATGGTTTTGGCCATGTGCCTTCTCTAGTTTTGTTGGGAAAGTGTGCATGCGGGGAAAGAGGTGCCATTACCTCCTACTCTATGATTCTCTGTGTTTAGGAAGGAACTTTGGAATATCTAACATACGTGTTAGAAATGTCTGTGATTTCTGTTTCCATTAGTCAAGGTATTGAGAGAGAGAGAGAGACTGAGACAGAGACACACAGTGTGTGTGTATATATCTGTTTGTCTATCTGTCTGTCTGTCTATTTGTCTGTCTGTCTGAGATTATGGGAATCAAATCCAGGACCTCAGGCATGATAAGCTAGCACTTTGCCAGTGAGCTACATTGCCAGTCTGTTATTTTCTTTTCTAAAACATCCTTATAGTGTGAGTTCCAGAGAAATTCATTTTTACTGTTGTTTATTTCCAAAGTAGGTAGTCAGGGGAACCTCATTTTTATCCTGGAAAGGTTGGCCTTTGTGGTAACATTTTTTTTTTTTAATATATTGAAATAAAGAATTCATACCTCTTGTGTTTGGGAATGGGTGGGACTTCCATTCCAGTGGCAGGAGATCAAGTGACTCTTTACTTTCCATGCAGACCTGTGTTCAATGACAGGAATTCCTCGGCTTGGCTTGTCATGTGGTTTTCTTGCACCTTGTTGGATTGGATTCTCTATCAGTGTTGTGATGTTTTGTAGAGAACTGTCCAGATCAAAACCCCCGTCTCAGAAACTGGGATCCAGGACAAGATTCTGGAAAACATGTTGTTATCAAGGAGGGTGATATGTTCCGCCTGACCTCAGATGCTACAGTGAATTCTATAGTCATTCAGGATGGAGGTAGGTAATAATTAACCCCTGTCTGTGGGAGCCCCAGGGATGCTCTGTAAAGTGGGGGCCATCTGCTGTTCCTCATATCTGTAGTAGATTTTGTTTAAAAAAAAAAAAAAGACAAAAGACAAAGGGGTGCCTAGCTTTTTCTCATTGCTGGGATTAGGTGTTACAGGAGTGCCTTCAGACTGTTTATTTTGGCTCAAAGCTCCAGAGGGTGCCCTTCACAGTGGCAGGGGAGACATGGAGACTGGTTTCCATGCAGTCTTCCTCTGAGGATCTTGCAGCTGGTCACATCATGGTAACAGCTGGCATTGGATCCAGGGGGCCAATCACCCACATGGGCCCCCTCCAGTGACCCACATCTGCTAGCTAGAACACAGGTTCCAAAGGTTCAAGTCGTGTTGTTCCTTTCAGGACTGCTTGTGTTTGGAGATGATAAAGACGGATCCAGAAATATTACCTTGAGGACTCGTTACATCCTGATCCAGGATGGTGGAGCGCTTCATATTGGAGCAGAAAAATGCCGCTATAGATCCAAAGCGACAATTACCTTGTATGGCAAGTCAGATGAAGGTGAAAGTATGCCAACATTTGGCAAAAAGTTTATTGGCGTGGAGGCTGGCGGGACACTGGAGTTACATGGGGCACAGAGGACATCCTGGACCATGCTGGCAAGGACTCTGCATTCCTCAGGCTTGCCCTTTGGTTCCTATGCCTTTGAAAAGGACTTTTCCCGGGGCCTTAATGTGAGGGTCATTGACCAAGACACAGCCAGAGTTTTGGAACATGAGAAGTTTGATACCCACGAGTACCACAATGAGAGCAGGAGATTGCAGGAATTTTTGAGAGCTCAGGATCCCGGTCGGATTGTAGCTATTGCTGTTGGAGATTCAGCAGTCAAGAGCCTGTTACAGGGAACAATCCAGATGATCCAGGACCGGTTGGGAAGTAAGCTGATCCACGGGCTGGGCTACAGGTAGGTAGACCTCGTTCCTCTCTTTCCAACTCTGTAGTAAAGTTCATATCCTGTGAAAGCGGAGGAGGTGGGCAGAGAACCACAGGCAGCTGCTGTTGATTTAGCTGGCTGCATGGCTACCCACTCCAGATGCCTTTCCTATCGTTGCATCCCGTTGCCGCTTGTTTGAACCATGGGTTTAACTATTAGATGTGGTACACAGAACAGTCTTGGCTTTGACTTATGAAGCCCTTTGTGAATTGTCTCTCAGCGGCGGAAAAGCACAGAAATGTGGTTCTGAAAAGCACTGGGCAGAGTGAAGATAATTTGCCTCTGAAGAGACTTCCTGTTACCATTAACCTCTGAGCATAATGAAACTGAGGACACTGAAGCCTAGGCTAATTGAGACAGCTGAGCAGCTGAGAGGTTAGAGCACAGTTCCATGGACTGGCTGTCATAAAAACCCTAGGGGGTATCGTGCGAGGTTCCTTTTTCATTTTTGGCATCTTTTGCATGTTAATTTGTTTGGAGTCCCTTACGTGGTACTTTGATTCCTCTTTCTTCATTGGCTCAGTTCTGTCCAGTTCTGGCATAGGAGAGGCAGCCCAAAGTTAGAGCTCAGCTCAGCTCAATCATTCATACAGAAGTTCTCTCTAATTCTCTAGAAGAGTCTCTACTCGTCACCCTTGATTTCCTAATACTGTCTGGAGGCTGAGGGAAGTAACTGGCTCACCATTTAACTAAAGAAAAAAAATAAAAAGAAAGAGAAAGAAAAACAAAAACCCAGAAGTTGTAATTCTGCTGAATGTTCTTAGGGACATTGGGAAATGTCTGCAGTGACAGAAGTGAGAGGGCCTCCAAACTGCGTACTGAAATGTGACACACTTAGCTTTTCCTTTGGGTACAATGTTAACTACAGAAATTCTTGAAGATAATGTTAGTGAAGGAAAGAGGTCTATTATCATCCTGAATTCTTCTTTCTTTCTTTCTTTCTTTCTTTCTTTCTTTCTTTCTTTCTTTCTTTCTTTCTTTCTCTTTTTTCTAGTAGCAGAAGGTAGGACTTTTTTTTAAATTCTTTAATTACTACTTGTATTTACATATCCATCCCCTCCATTCTGTCGACCTCCCATCCTCCCATGTTCCCCAACAACCCCTCCCCCCCCTCCAGCCCCCCGCGCCCCCCCAAGCACAGAGACCCCCC